GCGCAGCTGGGACCGCCACCGCGGCCTCTCCCTCGGGGCACTCGCCCTGTCTTGGCAAGGCCACCGCAGGGGTGATTTATGCCGTGCCAGCGTACCCGCCGTGTGAGGGCTCGGGTAACACCGGCACCCAGTGGAAAGAAGGCCGGGGTCCTTCATCTTCATCAGCACGCGGAGGAACGCAGCACCTGCGGGTTGGCAGCCCCAGAAAGGGGCGGCAGGACAGGGTCCGACCCGGGGTATTAGGAAGGGATTCCTCACCACGAGGGTGACCAAACCCTGGCAGCGGAGCAACCTCCATCCTCGGAGACCCTGGGCTAACGCCAACGTTGGCCATGCTTGGGGCTGGACCAGGGGCTCCAGAGCTCCCATCCAGCCTACGCCCCTCTGGGATGAGGATGGGGTGGTGGGAAAGGTTCTGGCTCTGTCTCCAACCCCAGAGAACAACAGTGCCCTCCCCACCACCCACCCAGCAGGAGATGGGTCAGGCAGGTGGGTGGCCAGAGCCACCCCAGCCCCGTCCAGAGGCACCTTCCACACGCAGCGAGCACGCAGCCCTGAAAGGGAGAAGGAGAAGGCAGAGGGACTTGGCAAATAAAAGCCAGGGTCAGTTGACAACACCAGCGAGAGACTGAGTCACCAGGACTGTTTTTAGCCCCGGCATCTCAGAAACGTGGACCGCAGCGATGTTAACAGGCACTTGGGTCAGAGGCCAAATGTTTTCCCTTCCATGCGTTAAATACCGCTCCTGGAAGCAGCCCAGGTATCCAGCACAGTAAAAACATTAACACAAATCCCGTATGACAGCAGGACCCTGGCTAATGCGGTTCCCAAGCTGCCCAGGTAAGGTTGCCTCGCTGGGGAGGTGTCAGGGACGCAGCAGAGGGAAAACCATCAGTCCCTGGGTACCAAGAGCCAGGGCTGAGCGTCCCTCGTCATGGTGTCACCACCGGGACAGAATAAATGGGGTCCATAAAAAAGCCCCCTGATTCTGGTGGTGCTGAGGTATATCCATGAGAGCCCACCTGTGCGTGGCGGACGTTACGGAGTTAATAATACACAGCCTTGCTCCAATACCTCTCCTTCACCCCAAAAAGCCTCTTCTTCACCCCAAAAATCCCCTCTGCCCGGCATGGCACAGCTGGGGGACGGCATGCACGCCATCACCCCGGCCAGGCACGGCGGGTGGAAGCTGGCACCCACGGGCCAGATCTGGGTGCAGGACCCCTGGAACCTCAGCACGGTGGGGCCAGACCCTGGTTCCGCGGCCGCTCCAAAAAAGCTCATCCCGCAGGGTGGCTGGGGGGGGGGAGGAGCGCATGAAACATCACTGTCCGACCGACTGCCCGGGGAATTCACAGCCCGCCAGCACAAACAGCCCGAGCCGACAAGTTCCTGCCCTCCCTTCCCGCCCCCTGCCCAACAGCGGCAATTAAAAATAAAAGTGTTAACAGGCAGAAGGACGTTCCTCGGGTGAGGACGAGCCAACGGCAGCGCAGTGGCCGGGGCCGCGCCGCGGCCGCAGCCCAGCACCACCCGGGGCCGAGTGATTAATCAGCCCCGTATCACGTCTGCCTTTCAACAGGGAGGCGAGGAGAGGAGCAGGGTGACCTTGGAGGGGCCTCGGCCCCGCCGGCGGGGAAGGACGCACGGACACACCGCATCCCGCTCACCTCGGCAAAGGTCGGGAGAGAGCCGGGAGCGGGGCTCCGCAGGCAACCCGTGGCCAAAGAGCAAACCCCATTCCGCTCCGACGCGGGCTCTCTCCAAACGACTTGGGTGTTGGCGGTTTGCTTAAATAACTGCATAAAAGAGCAATAAGGGGAACCGGCAGGACAGCACCATCCCTGGCCCCCAGCTTGATTCCAGCAGGACAGACGTAATGCATCATGGCACTGGGATTTAGAGGTACCATGTGCCCCAAAATCCTAGAAACTGCCCCGGAAAGTGGGGATGCTCAGCAAAAACCAGCCCTTGAGGTCCATGCGCCCCAAGTTCACGGTGTCACTTGCCATGAGCAGAAGGCGTGAGGTGACCACGGCCACCCCATAGCCCCCCCC